TTTGTTGCCAGTCTTGAGGATAATTGCAAGGCCCAAGCATCGCATTGCCCCTGCAAGTCCTTGTCGTTGGTCAAATTGCATTCAATCGCTACCACGACCCAGAATGGAAGAATCGAGCGTGCACATCAAAAATGATCTGCGCCGAATGCAGAAAAGTGTCTCGACTTCCTCCCATGATATGGGAGAGGCCGAGGAAGTCAAAGTTAAAGTTTGAAGTCAGCCTTACGAGTATTTTTTCCGGAGGATCGGTATGGAACTGGGCTCTATACAAGTGGGTGGGCACGCCCAGCTTTTCACGCATGTCAAGTGACTGCCCTCACCCCCCACCCCCTAGATTGGCTACACTCCCCCTGGCTCACGAATTCCCCGATTCTCGTGACAGTATAGTAGCGGGCAGCAGTCCCACTTACATACATTTCTGTTCAAAAAATGCGGCGTGCCCACCCTACTTGTATAGCACCGGAACTGTTTCACAGCAACAATCCCTAAATTCTCAAATCTCTCCATGCATTCGACTCATATTTCACCCAATCCATCTGCTCGAATTTTAAAATCGATCTCTTCAAATGGAATTAAATTGAAAATTATCCTCAGAAAAAAAAACGCATATTCATCTTCGGCAGGACAAAGACCAAAGGAGGACAAATCACCAGCGGGCTTGACTCATCTGCTCCGTTTGATGAATGCACCTTTTTGATAATGTAGGACAAATAAATACTGCACCGGTCATCGGATGCTTGAGTGATTAACGTTGCGTCACTGTTTACTTGATACAAAAGACCGCACAAAATTCACAGGCCTACTTAAAAGCTTCTGATCCTATGGAAGTCGACATCGGTGGGTGAAGTTGAACTCTACCGACATGAACTCTCATTTCTCGACGTCTCCCAAAATATTCAGGACATTCACTTGGGGAAGAGAACATTCACTCGAAGGTCATTCCCTCCTGTGCAGGTGGAGGCGGTCGGCGACATCTAATTTCCGCTCGTCTGCTCCTTCCACCGAAATACTTCTCGTGAACGAGTTTTCCGATAAATTACCGACTGAAGGATAAAATGGTTTGGTGTTTGGTGGCGGCCAGCACCTTTTTAAGGCGCTACGCATTCTGTCATATTTCCAATCGGAATGTAGCGACATTTGATCGAGATTCGGCCTGCACAATGATTTACAGAGGCCAGCTCTTGAACAAATCTGTGTTTTATCCTTTCAAAAGGTCTGGAGTGAGGAATGGACTTCATAAGCTTGTAGGTCTCGATTGGCCTCGATAGCATACAATCCAAACTTGATTATCGACTTTGTGCGTGGTAAGCGGCGCCACTGATCGCTTTATCATTCTCAGTGGAAGAATTACCACAATTGAGCTGGTCCAAAACTGTAGCGGTTGTGATATTTCTGATTGAAATTAGTAGGTCAGATGTACCTTGGGCATTATCTCCAAAACGCCCCGTAAGCCCCTCTTGGTCCACCCTTTCAACGTCTGCTTAACCCTTAGCACACTGCGAATGCTAACATTAAAACTTTCAGCGCTAAGTTTCCAAGTTGCAGCCCTCTACACATACTCATAGCCATTGTAAAATGTGGAATTAGTAATTTCTTTGAAATACCTCCGCATTGCCAAATGGAAATAGCTTCAACCCTTTTTTGGTATAAGCTGAAGCCCTTCTATATACGGAAATGATTACGGCTTCGACGCGGTGTTTAATAAAATTTTGGAAAAAAAGCTTGTATGTTTTGTGTTTACCCCGTTCCAGTTTCACCCAGCAACAGCCTTCTGATCTGAGGGCGCACGCATAGTCGGTCGGACGACAGCAACGATCGTAACTGTCGCACAGCATTGGATGCGTATCGATCGTCGGACTTGCCTGAGTATTCGACGATTAGATGCAGTTAGACAGTCAGACAGTTGCGATCGTTGCTGTCGGACGACCGACTATGCGTGCGCCCTATACGTAAAATAAGCGACTTGGCAGTATTTATGCAAATGGCTATAACAGAGATTCGAATCCATGCACGCAATCACTTCTTATTTATGGATAGGTGATCAACGCATGGGAAAAATTCACACGACTTGGATATTTCTCAAAATTACCCTGAAAATTTCTTGGGATCATAAGTTCTTCATATTCTATGTTAATTACTTGAAAGAGGGAAGTGCCCTTGCGTGTAAATCGCATACACTTCACGAGCACGTTTTTTCTGTCACTTTGTCTCATGATTAATCTTTTCCAATTTTCCGAGAAACTTTAACACAGTGCCGTTTTTCCTCTACTCACAGTGGACACGGGAACCACGTATTCATTTTTAATATACTGAATGCAAAAATTTAGTGATAATCTTAGAATTCAGGGGACTGAGACATCAGTAGAGCTCCAAGTGTACTGTATATCCTATTTCTACGGCGTTCGATGAATAAAAAAGGAAATTCAGCCAAATAATTTTCAGACAAAGCTTCAAAGCGGAAAATCATCATATCAATCATCATCAAAATAGTATATATTCCGCCATCGCAATGGTAGTTCCCTTCATCATCAACTACTAAATTCGCTGATATTTTCGAACCGATTTTTATTTAAAATTATACATAAGTAGTGCAGCAGCAGCCGGTCCAAGTGTCAATCGGACGACCTCCCCTCGGAGATACAGAATATAAACCTTTTGCCCTCCAATTCTCACAAACGCAAAGCGTTTCAAGTGGACAGCGTATCATTAAATCATTTATTTAATAGCACAGAGGTTCGACGTTCGATGAATCTTGGCATCGTGTGTGTTATTGTATCAGATTGCTTCTGAAGCCGCAAGCCAAAATGATACAAGACTTTATTTGGCTAACGCTTCGGCTTGGTCGCCTTCGTCAGAGCCTGGAAATCAAGTGAAGGATCGTGGACCTATCCGCATCATCATTTCTTAATCGTAGAAAACAGTCTCATAGACTTGAGTAAGCATCTAGGGGGGGTGTGTGTGGTGGCAGGGTGGGGTGTCGGTGCCATCGAAAACACAAACACCAGTCAACTCACCTTTAGATGCGGTAGGATTTTGGTTGAGACCACCGCTAGACTGACTCACTGTGGGTGGCTTCGGGTGACCTAGCCCCTCGGCATGGAGCCGATGGCGCTCGAAGCCCACAAAGGTCAGCGAAAGGGGCGAGTTCACTTGTTATTGCTAGGCATTCATCTTTCCTATTTATTTTTGGATTTTAGCGCTTATCAAACGGCCTCCGAAGACCTGTGAAGTTGGGTGCCGCGTCATGAATCCTACAGAGCCTCGTAGAATCCATAAAGTCTTGTATCATCTTAGCTTGCGCTTCAGAAGCAATCTGATACGAGTTCATGACTATTTTTCGTGAGTAGCGCTTGAGTAAGAGTAGGTTCACCGAATAAGCGTGAGATGAGAGAAAGAATGAAGTTGGTGAATACTTTTCTATTCGTTCTGCGTTCGGTCTCAAACGAGACTCAAAGACACATTCTGCGATCGAGAAAAGGTAGGGAACCATTAGGCTTAAAACACAATACAATTCTGGAGATGGATTCATTGAGTAAAAAAATTCAGAACCCCAACTAATGGACCTAGATATTTTTATAGGGGTGGAGCGCAAACCCCGCCCATAGGATTGGCGCGCAACGTGTTTCAAGAATTCATGGCTGGTCCTTTGCTTTCATTGGTCACTGTTGAAAGGTTATCCCTCTTACCTTAATTTTCTTGCACAATCGCTTTCACCTATCGCGGAACTTGCTTTTAACCCAGCACTTTGCTGTGCGGGCTATACTTACCACTTACACATAAGATTACGAATGACTTACGAGCTTTCGCTCAGCTAAAGGCGGATGCATTCAAATGCATAGTTTACGCTTCGGAAAAGATTAAGCATCCGGCGATTTTCAGTTCCTTTTTGAGATGGCTACGCATTCTCCCTCCTTTTGAAATACAGCCTCATTTGAAAGCATTTAACCCATACAATGGTTTACGGTGACATTCCGTTCTACTGTTCAGTGCCCCTCAGAAAATTTTGGTTCCAATCGACCGAGGTGAAGTTCTGGAAAGATGGTTTGTCACGGACGTGAAACAAGCTAAGATCAGGTACCGTTTCGACACCATCTGTCATAGAACTTCGCCCTCGACGATTCAATCAGTAATTTCAATCGAGGATAGGAGAAAGTTTGGTCGAATGGGTGAGTACTGAACTGGTAGTTTTCATGTGATTTTGTAGTCGCGATCTGAACTACCCAAGTACCTCGTCCAGAAAACACCGAATACCTCGACCGGAACTTTTGGTGATAGTCAAAGTGAAAGATGGGGTAATGAAAGCGTGAGAATTCCGTACTACCTTGCTGAACCCTTTGCTTTTCACAGGAATACAAATTACCCACCTGGCATGTTCCATGACTGCAGACGGCCCGATTGCTCTCAGCTTGGCAAGGCGCTCCATCGGCCATTCGCCATAGGAAATGGCTTCCAGAAGATCGCGATTTACACACAACTTCACACTGAAATCCCGCAAAAGACATTGTATTCCACAGCTGAATGAGCCCTGATGGGGGCACCAGAACTCCTTTCTTTTTTCTATTTTTTTACATACGAGTGCAGATGTTCTAGGGTAAAATATTAATGGCGCTAAAAAAAACTCCAGTCCGAACTATTAGGAAATCTTCCCTCTCACTTGCAGATGATAAAATCTGAGACCAGTCCAATTCACAAATTTAATTTTTTTCGTAATTGCTGAGCTTTATTAGTCATTATGCCAATTTATTAGGTAGTAGTCCTTCTAGAGTGGCTTTACAACACATTCTTTACCGTTTTGGGGTCTATTTCAACAAGGGAGGGAGGAGCGCATCGTAGTAGAGCGTCGCAAATGGGCATGTCAAAGACATCAAGCCATTCAAGGGCATCTAAAGGTTAGTTCGTAACTGCTTAGGAGAGGCGAGGAGGCTTTCATTCCGGTCACGGTGTGTGTGAGCAGATTTTTATTTACCCAAATTTGTCTCATTTTTGGCGTATTTTGTGTTATCACTTTACGACCATCAGACATCCCGGTACTTATAAGGTACTGGCTTGAAAATAGCGTTAGAGGATGTGAATTGCTGCGTGAGGCCTGCTTCGGCGACATGCAATAAAATTTGGTCAACTCGAATTCCGCTCCTGACCAGAGGTCAGCTTACAAGCCCTTGAAGTTATTACGCCTTTTGGCGTTTCGGCTGAGGGACCGTATGCTGAATGTTGGGGAGGGATGGGACCCCCAACGGTCGACGGTTCAACTCGGTTGGTACGATAGGAGAGTACTGACGCAAGTGGTGCAGCTGGTCCAGCAGCTCCGCCAGAAGGGCTGGTTTGCTCACCCCAGGACTAAGCCTTGGAGAGGGGACGGACCCGTCCTCTCTTTAAGGCTTAGTTCTGAGGTAAGCACCAAATTGTGGCGGTTCTAAGGACCGAGTTGAAGTGGTCCGTCCACCGTCGGGGACTCCATCCCCTCCCCAACATTTAGCATACGGTCCCAGCCGAAGCGCCAAAAGGGCTGGTTCATTGGTACGTCAAGGCCTTGGTACTAACTGCTGTTCCTATCCCAAAACCAAAAAACAAAAAAAAAAAAAAAAATAATTGTGGAAAATATCTCTTCTGCGAGCAAAGCTCACTTTCCAAATCGTCCACACCGGAGTCGATTTGCCTTAACATAGCGAGGGAAAAGGTTTCGTGAAGATCCGAATGCCGTGGATGCCTTGCAAAAATTTGGGCCAAGCCGGTGATCGAAACCGGGACCTCTCGCACCCAAAGCGAGAATCATACCACTAGACCACTTGGCCGTAGACAAACGCTCACACGCTATATTGAGGCGAAATCTGGTTCGATATCTCAAACAAGATATGGTCTTTTCACGCAGTTCCCGACCTTCGCGCACGACGCTGGGGAAAGTGAAACTGTCACTACGGTAATAATGCTCAAACTTCTCTTATTCCTATATCGATTTCGTAAGGAATTTTTGACATGCAAAAAACTACTGATTTCACGTATTTCTCGTACTTGCCAAAACCACTACGCCATTTCCATCCAATGGAACTCCCCTGCCCGTCCCGGTGAAACTTTCTTGATCCAGCCTATTTTCCGTTTTCGATAGCCTCTGAATGAGCGGAACATCCTATGTCAACATCTCACGCTGTTTGCCGTTGACACATCTGGAGCAGCAGTTATCACAGGGATCAGCTCGAAACCCGAAAACAAGCGGGACGTGCCAGGGAATTCGGGAGGAGTCAAGTCCCTGAGGAGTTGTATTCACATGTGATTTGTGCAATGGACAACCTAATAGGAAGGACGTCAATGAAATTACAAGTGCTTTCAGAGCGTTAGCCCTCCCTATTGCCTTCTTTGCCCTTACACTTGCTGATTTTTTGCTGATATAGTCAAATTTGAAAGGACATACCTGTTGTTTTGAAAGAATTTCTTCACCGCCACAGATCGTCTCACGTGAGGTTCGATGAAGGGTGTCGCATTCCTGAAAGTGCCTGACGCAATTTCCGTAGTTGGGATCAATAGTCGATCTAGCTCGAAATTTGTCCTAAGGGATAGCTGACTCTTTTGGGCTCGACTGTCACACTATCCGGTCGCGGAACCAGCTGACTCCAGCGGATCAAACCAACCCAGGGAAACCTTTCTAGTCAGATCTCCCCTTTGGGAGAAATTCCGGGCAAAACACAAGGATTAATTTTGAAAAGTAGTGGAGTAAAAGGAAAATAGGGCCCAATTTTCCGTCCCTAACTCCCCATTTCCAATAAGCTATGAACTCAACTAAATGAACCCCATTCCTGGAAAAGCACATTAGAGTGATGGCCATGAACGCCCATGAATCAGTGAGGAAATTGAGGTGTCCCGAGGTGAATTTCTGCATCAACGCCGAACACCCCGAATTATCGCCCGTGCAAGACCCTAATTCGAGGCGGCAAAAAGAAGAACGGAAGGCGCATTCTGTGCTCAAAAAAGCCTTGGCACAAAGTTCCACGGGCAAGAAACTTGCACTCTATTGAAGGATAAAGTGCAACGAGATATGTGCCCTATGGTCACCTCGCAGCTTTTCCATCGGAAACTTAGGGTGCTAAAATGTGCAAGACGTCAAGAAAGTGAGGGTTGACAAACCTTTTCGTTACAGACGCGGAATCGCACCGAATGCCCGGAGCATTTGACGTCGAGACATCGACGAAGCTGTTGCGATACACCGCCGCCGCACTGGAATGAACAACATCAGGACACTCGAAACCCAGGGTATTGAAAGTGAGGTCTTCATCAAGACTTTCTGCCGCTATGTCGGGTCGGGCGGTCTAGTGGAAGGTGGCGCTGCCTACCATGTGTGAGGCATCAAATTCTAGATCATACGTTGTTCAGGTCAACCAAGCCTTCCATCCCTCCGGGGTCGGTTTGGTACCAGACTTGTCTGGGAGGATAAAAACACTGACTTGTACATCGGCTGGCCCCCGCAAGTCATTGTATAGGCCACATTCAGAATGCCACTACGATTCTGAATGGGAATAGAATGCGTGGCAATGAGGTACTGCCCATAATTGGAACCCACTGCTCTGCTTCGTATATCGCGTGGTGCATTGCAAAAGGGATTGATCAACGCCAAATGCTTTATTCTGTGTGTATGAGCGATAGAACTGAAGAGGCGCGTTCAATGGAGTAGAACATAACCCTACTGTTCGAATCTGTTCAAGCTTCTCAAAGCGGTAACCCACTGCCTCGAGGATGATGCATTCGTCGGCTGAAGGTTCCTTGGGATGTGCCATGCACTTCACTTTCCTTCTTAATCGTAGAGGCATTTAACAGCTCCACCTATATAATCACTAATGCACCAATCAATGTACAGGTTTATATTTGTATCCTCCCACAGAAACTAGTAACAACCAAACGACTACGCGGTGTAGGTGGCTTAATTGGCATTTGGGCGATTCGAGCAAGGTTTTGACTAAAGCGAGGGAAAATCGTTACTTGCTACTATTGCACTTCCACCGGCTTTGTTTCTCATGCAAAGAATTGGTTGATTGGTTGACAAAGATAAAAATGAAGATAAGATAAAGTTTCGAACTAGAACAGTTGGAGAAAAAGCGCCAATGAAGAATGCCTCCGTTTTCAAGTGCCGCTAAGGAAAACCAGCGCAAAAAAACCGTCCTATTCGTATTTGCAGTTGATGCATGTAAGCTC